ATTTTTAAAGTTATGGTCACCACACGTGGGATTTAGTTCCCGGTAGTGGTGCGTCCATTTTGTACGTGCTTATTCAGAAACACAGTTGCCAGTGTTTGCAGGTGGGAAGCCAGTTAGGGATCATGTCTCCATACTCGCAACTCCTACTGGCTCGCCAGGACAAGGAGCGCAGTGCACATAGAAGAAGTCTTTATGGAGTGTTCAGACTTTGAGGATTAACACCTGTAAACCACAAATCATTGTATTTCTCAGGATAAGCATGTGTTGCATTTATCCAATCTTTCGTCACCTTCACGTGTAAAGAATAGCTTTCTTTATGTTTAATACTAACTGTGCTGTCAACGAATAGACAATTTATCATTATTTTTAACAAAAAAAAACATCCGATTGATTTAACATTATTTACAAACTAATAAAAATACAGTGATTCGTTTATTTACAGTGGCAGATTTAATGAAGGTCATGAAAGATTTGTTAATCAACATTCGATTATTTCTAATAGTAAATTAATTAATTTCATTAATTAATTTGTAACATTGTTCAATTAATACCTTTATCTCATTGTCACATTATGTGTACATCTTTGTGCTGTTGCAGGTTATGATGAACACTACAACATAATATTGTGTACATCGATAACATTAATTAATAGACGAATGAAAAGAACAATTAATTGATACCTCACATGTTTTCTTTTTTAAGGTGTGGCATTTTTTCAGTAACAGAAGGTTGCCATGGATACAGTAGATAACCAGCATGTGATCGGGCAAATGTTTGCGGCCTACTTTCACTCTGTTTCAAACATGCTAGTAATTTGCTGCCATGGGTGGTCAGACTGTGAAATGTATGGGCAGTAGCCCTGTAAAAGACAGTGACTGAGGAAGGCATATCTTTTCTAAACGAGGGGTTAAATGGCACCCTGCCATCTACAGATTGGAATTACTGCCACATGGAGCTCTAAATTGGGTTTAAATAGTCTTAACTTGATATGTGAGATGAATGAGACTCTGTAGCTGTACCGATTACCATTTCACATTGTTTGAGAATGTTTTGGCCCACCCCTACTTAGAATATCTCCAGTGAATTTGAATATGAATATGAGCTTGTTTTTATTTATAAACGTAATTACTGTCTGTCTGCAATATTTGCACGCTTGTCAAGTAGAGTGGTCTGTGTGTGCAGAATAAAAGCAAAAGCTCCCATAATTATGTTTATGTCCAGCGATGGAAATCCCAGTGTTGTAATTATCAGTAATTATAAATACTTTTCAGCATGTCTACTGCCTCAGCTGGGACCATTGTTTGGTGTGAAGTGCAGAGTTTGTGCAGCTTAATTATGACATTGTACATGACTAAATGTACCAGTCTGCTTCAGACCTGCAAAAACACTTCCAGTGCATAATCACGCTCAAGTCTGACTTTAAAGAGCTCATTACAGTTAGTTTTCTAAAGAGCGGCTTATTAAACACAGTTACCTAATAAGCATCTTTGGTGGTGCAAATTGGTAAAAATGGTAATGAGTCTGATTAGGCCACGTTTCAATTACGACAGCTTTCACTTCCCTCCCCCTCTCCCTCAACCCTCCCACCTTCCCCTCCCCCAAACCAAAAAAGAAGAAGCAAAGTCCAGCTCTTTATTCTTGGGAATCCTCCTGGAAGGCATTTTGCGCTCTCTCTCTCTCTCTCTCTCTCTCTCTCTCTCTCTCTCTCTCTCTC